TCATAGTAGCAATAACCCTTTTGAGTTTGGGCATAACCGAGAAAAATACATTTAGAGGCCTTAGGATCAAATTTAGAACGATGAGGTCCAAGAATCTAAACAAAGCATGTGCAACCAAAGGTTTTAAGGGGAACAGTAAACAATTCTTTATCAGGGTATGGAAGGGTAAATGGAGGCTTCATGTCAAGAACATGTAAAGGAACTCGATTAATTAGATACACTGTTGTAAGAATAGCATCTCCCCATAAACGAATAGGCACATTGGAGTTAAACATAATGCTTTAGCCACCTCCAATATGTGCCTATTCTTCCTCTCAGCAACCTCATTCTGTTGTGGTGTATAAGGACAAGTACTCTGGTGAATAATCCCATGATCAAGCAAATAAGAGGATAATGAGCTGGTAAAGTATTTTTTCGCATTATCGGATCTGAAGATTTTGATTTTGACTCCAAACTGGGTTAAAATCATCTGATGAAAGATTTGGGTCAAAGCAGGAACCTCATCTCAAGAACGCATAAGGTAAACCCAAGAAAAATGGGTATAGCCATCAACAAACAACAAGAAATATCTGTATCCCCCCATAGCAGTGATGTGATACAAGCCCCAAACATCGGCATGCACAATATCAAAAAAATTACTACTTCTTTTATTACTCAATGAATAAGATGTTCTACAATGCTTTGCAAGCTCACAACTCTCGCATCTCAAATTGAACATCTAAACAGACTCAAATAAATTTAGAAACAAACTCTTCAAAGACTGAAAGGATAAATGACCCAATCGATTATGCCAAAGCATAACCTAACTAACAAACTGAGAAACAAAAGACTTCCTATCTTCACTATCTTCCCAATGAGAACTCTCTCCAAGCAGATAGATCCCATTCGTCTCACACCCAGTCCCAATCACCTTCCTTGTCYCCAAGTCCTGAAAAACACATCAGTCAAGGAAAAAAGTTACTGAACAATTCTGATGTTTTGTAATGCTACTGACTGAAAGCAAGTTACTATTAAGCTTAGGAACATGCAGAACTAAAGATAAGGAAATGGTATTAGACAACTTGATGTCTCCCTTACCAGAAATAGGAACAAGGGAACCATCAGCAATGGACACTATCTCTGCCAGAAGATAAGTGATAGGTAGTGAACAGTGATGGCCAGCCAATCATATGGTCAAATGCACCTAAGTCTATTACCCAACAATGTTCAGTGTTACCTGGAGTTGAACCATGATAAGCTGAGGCCTGAGTACCTAAATGAGCAAATACTGATGTGGGAGGAGCTAATGGCGGCTGAGATGATTGAGCTGAATTGCCAACTTCCTTTTCCAACTGAGTCAGGGCAGCCCGGACAGCAGCTAGGGTGTCTAGAGGTGTTTTTGTTTTGTGCCCAATGAGGATGCACAACTAGTATTAACAGCCATATTAGCATTACCCCTTTTGTTCCTGAGTTTTGCTGGACTAGATGAGGGTGCGGCTTCCAACATGTGTCTTTAGTATGCTTAGGTTTCTTGCAATGTTCACACACTAGATCCCGCTTGTCTTCCTTCTTTATATCCCTCTCTGTAACACCCTCAGACTTAGGTTTAACTGCTACTAAGGCTGGTGGGAAGGGCTGATGTTGCATCATAACCTCTCCTAATCTCTTCACTATGCACTAAGGAGTAGGCTTGAGATAAGGTCACATTGTCCCTTGTTAGTAGTTGTTGTCTCACAATATCATAGTCAGGATTTAGACCAGCTAGGAACTCAAAAACCCTATTAATTTCAACTTGCTTTTGTATGAGTCTGTGCATCCTTCTGACTTTCCCACTCAAGTGTTTCTAGGTGGTCAATTTCATGCCGCAGAGATTTCAAGGTAGAGAAGTAAACCGAGACCAGTTTCTCTCCATGCCTTAGGTTGTTAACCTCACACTTCAATTCATAAGCCCTAGCAACATTAAGGGGTTGGGAGTAAGTCTCTTTCATGACATCCCAGATTTCCTTGGTTGTTTTTGCCCACAAATAGTTTCAGCTAATATGTGGCTGCATAGAGTTGCACAGCCATGTCATAACCAAATAGTTCTCCTGAACCCATTTGGTATAAGTTTGGTCCTCCTCAGTTGGTTCTTTCACATCTCCCAAAAAGTAACTCAGTTTTCCTCTACCCCCAATGACCATCATGGCTGATTGAACCCACTCCAAGTAGTTTGATCCATCAAACTTCACAGTTGTAATTTGAAAGGCATTCTCAGACATGTTACCAGAATTGTCAGTCCCAAAAACACCTTCCCCCTGATTCTTGAACTCCATTCTTGATCAAGAATTAATAAAAAAAAAATTACTGTAATAGAAAAACAGCACCCAAACAACTGATAACAGTCGGCCTAGGTCTTCCAAAGAACAAAGAAAACAGAATTCTGAATGAAACCAGTTCAAAATCTGATCTAAAACCAACAACAGTTCTGAATTTTAGGGTTTTCTCTCAAAACCCTAAAGGAAAAACACAGATTTTCCAGTCACACCTCTCAGAATAAACCAAGATTATTTTTTTCAAAGTTATTGTCAAGAAAAAAGCATACTTTATGAAAGAAAATCTCTGGCCACCACCTTCTGTCTGATGCAAAACCCTAATCTTAAGGATCCAAAGCCTTTTTTTATTCTTCCTAACTACTGGAACTCTCCCAGCCTTCTACAATCTTCTTAGTAGCAGTCGCACACTACTAGTAACCTCCAAGAATCAGTCGATCCTCCTTCTTTGTTGAAAAACTTCTAAACCTAGGAGATTCTCATTAAGTCAATCTAATTAGACTAACATAAGGGCTCCTAGGTCGGCTCCGATACCAAGCAGTCGATCAAGACTACCATCGGTCTTGAATTCAAAAGAAAAAGAATGAAGAAATTGTAGAAGGGAAGAAGAAGAGAGGAGAGAAGAGAAGAAGCACATGAAGAGATTTTTGAAAAGAGAGAGGGTTGGTCTTAACATTAACCGACTCACTCTTAATATTTATATATGTTGACTAATTGTAAAAGGGTTGAATTGCCCTTATTGCTTACATGGCAAATAAACTAATAATAAAGCTAAAATAACTACCAACTAACACTAACATAACTAACAAAAATATGTTGCCATACGAACACAATGGGGACCACATCAGTGTTCTCTACAAATTGCTTGTGGACATTGCTCTGATTCCAGCATCCCATCCATTTTGCTCCATCCCATGTATGCTTGTCACTATTCTAGTCCATAGCTTCTCCTGCTCTAAAGGAAACCTCCACAACCACTTTCCCAAGAGGGTCGAGTTCCTTTTCTCGATATTCCTGAGCCCCAAACCTCCACAAGCTTTACTCCTGGTCACCATTTTCCAGCTAACTCTATGGTCCCTCTTCTCCTCTCCCGGCTCCCAAAGGAAATCTCTCATTAATCTCTCCAACCTACTGGAAACCTTCACTGGAATTTTGAACACTGAAAGGAAATAAATGGCTAAGTTTGCTAGCGTGGCCTTGATCAATGTAATCCTTCCACCAAGGGAGAGATAAGTCTTTTTCTAAGAAACAAGCCTTTTCTCAAATCTCTCCACCACCGGGCTCCAAAAACTCTCTCTCTTGGGATTAGCACCTAGGGTCAAACCTAAATAACTCAAAGGCCAATCTAAGACTTCACACCCAAGCACTTTTGCATTCTCCCTAACCTTTCCCTCCTCCATATTCACACCCACTACACAACTCTTCCCGAAGTTCACTTTCAGGTTTGACATTTGCTCAAAAAGTTGAATCACTAATTTCAAATTCCTAATGAACCTCACATTACCTCCTTCACAAAACAAGATCGTATCATCAGCAAACTATAAGTGAGTGAGTGGGATGTCCTCCCTACCAACCCTCCATCCTCTAATGAGACCCCTAGAGTCTGCTCTGTGAATCAACCTTCCCAGCACATCAGCAACAAGTAAGAACAGAAAAGGGGATAGGGGGTCACCCTGTCTTATACCCCTAGTGGCTGGGAAAAAATCTACCACCGTCCCATTCACTAGTAATGAGTAATGACAATTCCGAACATACCCTGTGATCCATTTACACCATCTAGCCCCAAACCCCAATTTGGTCATGACTTTCCTCAAAAATTCCCAATCCACCATGTCATATGCCTTCTCTAAATCCAATTTACAGACCACCCCCTTCTTTTTATCCTTCTTGAAACTCTCCACACTCTCATTGGCAATGAGGATTTGATCTGTAATCTATCTTCCACTCACAAAGGCACCCTGATTTTGTTCATTTAAGTCTGGCAATACCTTCTTCAATCTCAAAGATAACACCTTTGCAATGATCTTGTACAGGATATTGACCAAACTAATTGGTCTAAAATCCCTTGGGTGTGAAGTTTCTTTCTTTTTGGGAATCAGAGCAATGAAAGTGTTCACCCCCATATTAATAATTCCTCTCCTATGAAACTCCTCAAAAACCCATAGAGAGGTCTAAGCTATAATGTGGTTCATCCCTCCCTAGGCAGTCATATTTGTACTCTTTTTTTCATATTTTCTGTTTCTCTTTATATTTTTTACTAGTTGCTTTGGTTCCTATTGCTTATTTTCTACTTTCCCTCCCTTTAGTTTTGAGAAGGTAGGGTATTTTATCAATTGAGAAGGTAGTTTATTTGTAGAGAAATGCTAGTAAATGAGTTTGTGCAACTCTTTAAATTTTTTCCTTACAAACAAAGTAGGACCTATCAAAAGAAATGTCCAACCTTGAGTGTATCTTTTCATGTGTTCCACCATGTATGTGGGACAAAGTTTCCAAGAGTTACACAAACTCATTGTTTAGTAGAATTCCCCTTATTCATGCTACCCTTTTTTTTAATCAATAAATTCTTTGAGTTACTTATCAAAAAAAGAACAATAAAACAAACTCTGAGAAAGATAGATGTAAACTGTTGGAATGGTCTGGCAAGACTGCAACAGCTACAGAAAACTAATATAAACAATAGATATACTTCAAAAGAGTTTGCTAGCTTCTTACGTAAACATGCTCCATAGAGAGACAGAACGATCAACAAGTTTTCAATGGGAGATGTGGAAGAACCAACACATGTTATTATTGTCAAAGGATTCCATAAGTATACAAGAGCAGCAATATCCCCCGCAGAAAGAGTCTCTGAGTATCACAAGATTAGTGCAATAAATCAATTAATAAACGAAACAAATCAAACCACTTCATTTAAATATGATATAATAACAGAACAGTATTTGGTACAAAAAAGACAAAAGTACTTGCCAATCCAGCAATACTGAAAATTTTTAAAACACTTATAGATTATAAATGTAAAAGATTGTGCAGTTTTATTCGTAGTCCATATGAAGCCATAACATATAAGCAATTTATTCAGAGTCAATATAGATTAATTAAAGAGGCAAATCTGATATTAAAAAAAAAAAAACTAAAGAAGATAACTCATAGTTCAACAACATCATCTAAGCCTTGTCCTAATTATATAGGGTTGGTTACATGAATCCTATTCTGCAATTCCATCCCATTTAGTGCCACACCCGTTGCTAAACTATGATCTCTTAAATCATTTTTTGCTACTTCAACCCATGTCCTTCTTGGTCTACCGTCTACCCCTAGCTCTTCTAGCCCCTTCAACTTGTAACAAATAACTTCTTCTCACAAGTGCTGTAGACAGCTTTCTCTGCACATGCCCAAACCATTTAGTCTTCTTTGCCTCATTTAATCACCTATCAGAGATACTCCTAGTCCTATGTTCCTATGAAGAAGTTCCTTTCTGATCCTATACTTTCTGGTTTTCCCACTCATCCCCTTAACATGCATTTCTGCGACACTCATTTCCTGAACATCATAATTTTCAAGGTGCCAACACAAGGTTAGGTGGCAGGGAGCACCTTGTCAGCTAGTCACCTAAGCTTTTCCACTAAAAGACAAAGCATTAAGTCATTCAGTTCAGTTAATTCAGTTATTATGAAATGGCCCTTAAGACTTCTAGAAGGCAGTGCATTCTCTTTTTTTTTCCTTTTTGGTGGGGGTTAGTAGTATATTAAGATTAAGAAGAAGACGAAGAAGAAGAAGAAGAAGAAGAACAGACTTCCTTGAAAGACAGATTTGTGACTTGTGAGGATAAGGAAGAAATATTGCTCTCATTGAATTCAAACTTACCTGAACTTTCTAACAAGCTTACAAGGTTTAGTGATCTCAAACTCTGACTGTATGCCAACTGTAGAGTCTGACCAGTTGCACGGATGAGCATTGCTGTCACCAAATCTGCAACCACAAACAACAAGCTGTATGCAAAAGGTCTTGAAATTAACATCTCGACTAAAGAAAATTTATAGAATGCCAACTTTAAAACATAAGAAACATAAAATTCCCTTGAAACAGAGATATATGAAGCTATAACTGCCTTCTGTTGAAATAAAATATTCACACACTACGCCTTCCGTTTTTTCCCTGATCAATAAAAGACAAATGATATCAAGAATGTCAAAGCCAGAACACACTTTGGGGACCAAGACCAAAAGACCCCGAGAACACAAGGTCCAAAGACTATTAATTGGTCATCAGAGTAAAACCACTATTATCCCCATTCTTTAATCTAAGAGACCTCAATGGCAGTGGGTAGTAGGCCTTTCAACCCTTTATGAGACATGAAATATGAATTAAGAAGTGGGGATTCTCTGTGTAACTTCCTTTTACAGAACACTCAGAAAAATAACTGTGTTTTTTTCTTCCTTTTTTCATCAAAAACACAAATCCTTTTGAGAAGAGATATCTTACCTTCTAAGAGATTTCAGGCAAAACAATGTGCAAACCCGTTGGTTGCTCTTAATATGATTAATAATTTTCCTAGAGAATTCAGGTCATCATGATGCAAGGTATTAAGTTTCATTCTCCTCCAAAACAAATTTCCTTTTCAAAATGTTGACATTTTCAGAAAAATGCTTGGCCTCTCTCAGTTAACCCTCTAAATATGTCAATTTCTATATGTATTCAGTTCCAGTGGTGGTCAAAATTTCAACAAAGTTTAAAACCTTGACATGGGGAAACCAGGAAATAGGAGCATAGCATCACTGAAGCAAGTAGATCACGTTACCTAATACGCTGTGCCAGCTATTTCCCAAATGGTAAAACCATTGGAGCAAAATATGTATATAAAAATGTTGGGCTTTATGTTCAATAGTATTAGAGAGCCATGAAGATATACAATCAACAAGGGCAAAACACAAGCAAATATGTTGAATTCAATGTTAGGTCATCTAGGTTAACAACTAAAAATAAAACAACAGATGGCTTGGTTGGCTTTCAATTCACCTAAAACTAAAAATAAAATAAAATAAAATAAGTTGATTTTGCAGAAAAATAAATAAATGCAGCTAGTGAATCAAAAACATCACCTGCACATTAGATGGCTTGGTTGGCCTTCAATTCTGCACCATCCGGAAAAAAAGGAGGATTAAAACTAATTATGTATTTTAAAGGATTTTAAGCAATTGGGAGAATGCAAGAGAGGAAGAATGTAATACTATTTCTATATTTCAGAACACGATGAGCAGAGACTGCTCCAGTCAAAGCCATGCTAGTAGACATAACCAGCATTACCTTTTAACAGTCAAAGGTCCGAGAATGGACAGCAGCATAGGAGAGCCGTGGTACATAGACCCTGCAGAATAGAGGAAATCACTCTGCTTGATGCCAATAGAAAGAAGGGAGAATAATGAAAGCAGCATTTTTTGGCAATTAAACAAACATTGAGTTGCTTTTAATTAACACAATTAAAGCAACATTGAGTTAATTAAAAGCAAATAAAACTTACCTGCGTAAGGAGACATGGATGACTGTTTCAACCAGTAACCTTCAGCCACTGCAGATGAATGAAACAAGACACTCTGAGCCGCAATTCAACCATGAACGATGAATTCGAGCATAATAAAACCCTAAAACATGGTTTAAAGATGCTATTTCAAAAGAGAAAGAACATGTGTGGGATTTATAGAGAGATAAAGAATGATTACAGCGACGGAGACTAGTAAGAGGTGTAGCGACTTCTGGGCGAAAACCCAAATTGAGATTTTCAGGGAAATATATCAGAACGAGTCTGAAGAAGAGAGAAGTGATCACCCAAACCCAAAACCATCTCGTTTTTTCCATTCTTCTCCCTGTAACCTTGCGACGGGAGCCAGTTAGACGGACGATTATCAATTTTCAGATACAAACGAAAAATGAACAGGAGAAGAGAGAAGTTGAGAGTTGGAACTTCAGAAGGCAGAGTGCCGAGAGCGCGGAGCTGGTATTGAATGAATTGCTAGTTAGGGATCTGAATGGACTTGTTGGATCTACATGAAGTGCAGACTACAGAGGATTACAGCTACAGGTACTGTTTTCTGAACATTAGCACGTTAATGCTATCCGCACGGGTTTGCAGTCACGGGGTACATCCAGCACCGTCTATAATGAATAATGAGAGAACCTATTTTTCTGGTCCTTTTTTGTGGATGATTAGTGTCATGAACTAATGTACGGAATTAAACTCGTACCAATAGCTTTGCTGGTGTTCAAAAGTCCGGCGGATGGTCTGACCGGTTGACCTCGGATGCCAATCTGCCAAACGAGAGATCACATTTGCGCCTCACAGGCCCCATGCACCTCAGCATGCATCGGGAACATCTCCCGTTTTTGTCATTGGAGGATGTTCCCAATACACGGTTTGGATGTTTAGTGGGGCGCGCTGTGTGGAGAAAACATTACGACTTCACAGCGCGCCCCTGTGGGGCGTCTGGGGCATGCGGTGTGATTTTGTCTCTTACGGCAGCTGTTGGATGAACGCCTTCAAAGATCACATCTTCACCCCCACATTGTCACAAAGTGATTCTTTCACCACACCATCAAGCACCTTCCACTATGATATCAGAGTGCCTTAGCGTGTTTTCATGGTGTCATCATGTATGTCATGGGTGAATTATGTATCTATCTTGTAAGTGGGGGTTGTTAATGGCATTAGTGTAAATACTTAATATGATTTTTCACCATTTTGATGTTTCTTTTTGTCACTCCCACAAAAACTTAATATACTCTTTAAGGGGAGGTAGGTAGTCAAGTGAATCAAGAGCGTATAAAGGTTAAGCACGAGATCCCCTTGATACTAAATTGTATGCTTGTGATTACTAACATTTAATGCAATATAAAGTGTCTTTTGACTAATTCATGTGCCTTCTTGTTGCCTTTTGTGTGTTATTATTTGTATTCGTAGGTTTACTCGACCCCATCGAGCACTGCACAGGGCCTTGTTGACTAACCCCGTGACAACATGCACATCTCAGCATGCATTGGAAACATCTTTCAATGTGCCAATCAACTGGTTGGTAAATTCTTATGTTGGTCATAACCAATACTCGATTGAAATCCTGCCTACACCTGGATGGAGGGGATGGGCTATCTCCCATTGTGTAGCTCTTCAAAAAATAAACATTGTGGGTGGTTCAGTTATTCAATTATGCAAATAATGAGTCCCGCAAATGGTATCCATGTATGAATTTAAATTTGAAACTATTTACCAAAAAAAATAATACAGTGATTCATTATTAGCGAAAGCAACAAAAAAAAAATCAAATTTGATACTACCAAAGGCAATATGAGTTCCATCCTTAGGTGAATAGAAATCAAGTTTTTCATGAGTTGTTGCTCAATTTGTGAAAAGTTCAATTTGGCTTGGTCTAAACCAAACTTTAAAGCAAGCTTGAGCCTAATCAAGCTAATATTATATATGGTATTCTAAATTTATTATATGTATAATGACAAACAATTTTCTATGTATACTTTTTTTTTATTTTTATATGTATAATTTTAATTTTTATACATACAATTTTTTTATAGGAAGTGTGGATCACAATCAAGCTCGAGCCAAGTTGAGCTTGAACGTATAAGTTTTTGACTCAAGCTAGATTAGCCAAATATTCAAGTAACTTGATTAGCTCAAGCCTCATGTTTTTTGGGTGAGTAGAGCTTGACTAGCCAAATATCTGAGTAACTCGGTTAAAATCCACACATAATTGGGAGGCATTGGTCAGGTGGGGTGAGATTTTGTTAAATTTCCAATCATCTTGAACTAGATATAGTTGAGATCCTTTTAGTTGGGTCTCTTTTATGATTGCACCATTGTCTCAATCCCAAAAGCATGTTATTAATACATTTCTAATAATAACAATCTCTCTTTATAATATATATATATATAATTGGAAAGTCCATGTTAGCATGTCTCTCATTTGATATAAGTTATTTATCTATTTTATCTTTTTTTTTGCATATTTTCTTACTTTCATTTGTTTTAAGATTATAAAAAAGTAATCATTGTCTATTTTGATTATATTAATAAAGTTGCACACTCAGTGTGTGCGTGTGTGAGAGAGAAAGAGAGAGGGTTAGTAATACAACATTATAAAGTAAAACATTAATAAGTAAAATAATATAAATAGGTAAATATTGTTTTAAAAATCCACTAAACTTAGTAAAAATTAAAAACACTAATAAAAATCAAACTTAATAATAAGAAATTAAAATAAAATTCCATTAAAAAACTTAAAAACATCTCAATTCCACTTAAAAATTAAACTTAATAAACACTAATAAAAATAAGAAATTTAAATACAAAAAATATTATTTGATAGCTTTAATGATATTATGATTTAAATATGTGTTTGATATATTGCAAATAGAATCTGTGTTCTAATGTTGTATTTTGTCATGTTTATTATTTTTATCGTATTAGATAACTTTGTGTTAATATATTTGTAATTAATTAATTAATAATATTGTTAAAATTAGTCATTTTTAAGAATTGGGACCTTTATTGTGCATAGTGCCCATACTATACAAGAAACTTTTATAAAATAGAAGACCCATTAAAAAATTAATGAAAATTTAAAATGTAGAACCTGTTTTATGACTTGTACGAATAAGACAAGTTAAATGAGTATATTTAGAAACCCGTAACGTGCGATACACAATATACAATAAAAATAAAAATGATGATGATGATGATGATAATAATAATAATAATAATTTATACATAATTTTAAACCTAATAACTATAATAATTAATTAGTAAAAAATGACTAAAGTTGATACAAATATTAAAAGTTAACAAGTTTTTATCTAGCAACCATTAAAAGTTAAGAAATTAATAAAAAATAGTATTAATTTATACTTAGGGATAACCATTTTTCTTATTTTCTTTTTGTTTTGAAAATATAAAATAATAATTGTTGTCGTTAATAAAATTGTATATCATTAATATTTAAAGTTGCACACTATTACCAAAATATTATATTATTAGAGAGATATATGTTATATTACAAATGAGAGACAAGTAAAGGAGAGTATTGATGAGAAAGGGAGAGATAGAATTTATATATTATTAAAGAGAGAGAATGGGTGATGTATAAGTAAAATATTAATACAATATATTTTGCGGCAGGAAAATATTAATATTAATATTACTACTAACTAAGTAATAAATAAATAATAAAATAAAAATATTAATATTAATATTAATATTAATTATTCATTATAAATACTAAGATATTGATATTAAAATTGTTAGTTGATTCCAATTCAAACTCCAAATGAACCAAACAAGAGCAGTCAAAATCCAATAATTATGTATAACTATATAAAGTTTATAATTGATAAATTTAATATTTTATATTTATATACATTTATTGTATATATGCTTTAAAAATAATTGGTTTTTTAAAGTTTTTTAATTTTGTTGTCATTTTAAACACAAATAGGGTGGTTGCATATTAAAGGTGAAGATGATCCAAAACCCAACATAATAATCATATGCAAAATGTGGATTTAGATTTCATAATCAAATGCAAATGTGGATGCAATTGGTTCAAATATGAATCCAAACCATTCATAATCCTACCATTTACATTGTGTAGGGTTGGTGTAGATCTAAGATAGATCTAGCTCATAAGAAAATAGTTGCTTGAGCCCAAAAATTTGTTGGTTTAGCCAAGTTTAGGTTAAGTTATAAATGATCATTCCTAAGTAGTCTTAAGACATTTATTATTAGGTCATTATTAGTTTTGATATTTTAATTAAATTTTATAGTTTTTATATGAAATGAAAATGGCTTATTTTATTATTTTCAGTATTTTTTACTTTTTATTATTATTTTATGAACTACTCATTTTTATTAATTTCTTAATTTTTAATACTTGCTAGATAAAGATTTGCTAAATTCTAATTTTATTTATTAGGTTTCAAAATAAAGTTTTATGACAATTAACCAATTAATAGGATTCTAATGTGAATAGGGATGGCAATGTTTCCCATCCCATTGAGTACTCAACTTCCTAGACCTAATAGGGTTGACGATGGATATTGCCTTGGTTGGGATAGGGATTGATAATGATACCCAACCGAGGATGGAGACGAGGATTTGTTTCACAGTATTAAACCCTGAGCTTGGACTTATATTAATTTAATTATGACTAAAAAAGTTAATTTATAGATTAATTTAATTATAACATTGAATGATTAATGAAATAAAATGAATAAAATAAAACACTAACAGATAAATTGAAAAAAAAAACATTTATTTATTGAGTAATTAGCGATAATTTATTATTTTTGTTAAAGTTTATTAATATAATTTATATAAATTATTAAATTATTTTTATAATGAATTACTAAAATAGAGAATAATAAAATTATTAATATAATTATCAGTTTCCATTATTTCACTTTTTCATAAATCTCATGCATTGAACGGGTCCCCGCTAGTAATAGTAATAATAATACAAGAGGTGCCATGACAACACATCTCTCCTTTCAGCAAACATATTTTTCTTTTTTTTTTCTATTATTTGAATTTTTACTTGTTCTTAAAAGAGTAACAAGCCTAATTAATGATTTTAATTTACAAAAAATTACGAATAGGCCCATTGCAGATTTATGATTTCCACTGCAAAACTATAAACATTCAAAATGTCAAATACCCCCACTCTACACACCAATACCCTCCTTTGAATTAGCATCAATTCCAAGCTATCACCTACCCCAAGTGTACTTTGGGCCTACCGTCATTCTCCCTTTAATTTACCATTGTCTCTTTTGAAGTTGTTACCTTTTTTCCATTGCATCTTCGCCATTAATGAGGATCCAATGCGTCTCTACCAATTGCAATTTGTTTTTGTTCAACTTTTTATTATTGTTTTCTTCTTTTAAAGCAACTAAGTAAGTAGCACTTCTATGAGTGTCAAGAGACCATTTGACCCTTAGTAGGTATTTTCTTTCACTTGACGAAGTATTGTATTTTCAAAATGTTTGAAACTATAACACATTTCAATGGCCCCACATGTGATACCCACTAGGGCTCCCCACATTGCTTTTTACTTCATAAAACAATGAGGAATGCAAACGGATCTA